AAGTCAGACCCCGTCCTTTAGAAACTGCCCATCCTGTCTCTTTAACCCAAAGGCCACGTGGGCATGGGCTCGGCAGCCTCCGTCTGTCTGCTCTGCAGTCACCGGACCTGTTTCTCTAAGCATGTTGGTCGAAGCGCTTTTGATACTCGGGAACAGAAATGTTGTTATGCCAATTCAAGGAAGTCTGGGTTTGCGTGGGGTCCATGGATGTAAGGAGGTGTGTAAAGATGCTGCGAGTCCCCAGGGAAGGCCCAGCTCTGGGGTGCCAGGAAGCCTGGGCGGGCTTGGCTCTCCTGTCCTGTGTCCCTCACCACAGCCTCCCTTGGCTCTCTGTGATGAGTGCCTTCCCTCTGCCCCTCTTCCAAGGACTGCTCTTCCTTACTCATCCCATGGGTGACCTAGTGTGGTCAGCCCACGATGGACTCCCACGACCCTGCACTCACCCCAACTGCCACCAGCTCTGAATCGCTTCATAAAAGGTCTTCTCGTGAGGAAAGGATGGGGTACCAGACAGGCTCACAGGTCAGGCCGCAAGGACGGGCAGGGCCGCCAGGAGCCAGGGCTGCCCATCGGGGCTGCAGGGGATGTGCTGAACAGCCAGTTGGTTGGTACGGATTGGCTGCTGCTGTCCCTGGATCTCATGCCTAAGTCCCCACCTGGAAGGACAGGCCCAGAGGACACCTGTCAGAAGGTGCCCCAGCCAGCCAGCACGTCCAGAGCCCCGGGTCCCCCTTCCTGGGCTGCTCGACAGGAAGGGGTCAGGCTGGTCGAGCCGTGAGCAGAGCCAGAAAGCCCAGCCAAACTGTGTGTGCTCTAGTACACCTGCCTCTCTTCCTTGTCTTCATCTGCTGTGGATCGGTGCCACGAAGCAGCGGGACCATCCTGCTGTGAGCTTGGGATCCCCCCCTACCTCCATGTTTGCCTTTCTGGAGTCAAGGGTAGCTCCCTCCCCAAGACACAGTGAAGCAGAAGAGCTGGGTTAGATGTTTGTTCAAGCTCTGGAAATCCCACAGGTGGAAAATTGGAAGTTCTACAAAAGGAAAATCAGGTGCTGAACAAAATGTGGTAGAAAGCCATCTGGGGCACTCGGCAACTCAGGACCCACTGGAGACTTGCCCTGCAAAATGTAGGCTTCCAGAGCCAGCAGGGACCGTGAGGGCCATGGGCAACGGAGGTGGCTGGTGTCGAGGTTTGTGTTAAAGCGACACGTCCCGCATGATGCCTTCAGAAACCTGCCCTCCCGGGTCGCTCCTCCCACCCTGACAGCAGGTGTGATTAACAGCATATACAGATGGCAGACTGGGGCTCCAAGAGGTCACGGTCTTCCCCAAGGGGGGGTGGTGTGTGAAAGGGGACCCAGTGGGCAGAAGGCGTAGCTGGTGGGGATGGACACTGGGCTTGCCGTTCCTGTTCCCGCCGCTCCTGCCACAGCTGTCCTTGGAAGGAGGCTGGTCCGAGTGTAGACACCGAATGACCTGGGAGCCCAGGTGCTGTGGCCAGGTGCGTGCACCGGCTGGCGGGGCCTGCGGGGGCCTCTCTGGCTCCGACCCCAGCATGGGGCAGTTACGGGGCGGCAGGAAGGTTCCAGAAATTCCCACGGACATTCCCGGGACGCTGCTGCACAAGAAGCAAGGTCAGTGTCCAGCAGGTGAGAGGCCCCCTGAATCCTCATGTTTCTGTCACCGTGCTCTCTTATCCCGGCTGCCAGTCGAACCACATGAAAGAGTCTGGCAGCTCGGCCATGCCGATTTGGGAGAGCCAGCCCTCACTGCCTCAAGCTGGGGGAAGCACAAAGTCTTTGCTTCTCTGCTGACTTGCTGCTTGCACAGCCCCCTTCCATGTTTCATGTTACCAACACTTGTTCTTGGCACTTCTTCGCTGGACAAAGGACTTGCACAGTGATTCGGCATGTGAACAAAAAGCCATGTGGCCTCCTGCCAAGGCGGCCTGGGGGTCGCCCAGGCTGAGCAAGCCTCTCCCAGAGCCAGGAGCACCTGAGCTAAGCTGAGGGGCTTCTCGGGCCGCGGGTGGAGAACGCCACAGTCCCAGCACGGCCGCCGCCTTCCGGGCGCACCCGCCACTGTGCCCCCGCCTCTCCCCTGCTCGGCCCTGCTGACAGTGTGTTCACTAAGGTACCAGCGTGGCTCGCATGCAGATAGAGTGACCCCACGCCAAAGTCGTCCTTAGCAGAGCGAGGGAACTAGTAAGATGTTACAGCCAGCTCAGAAGAGAAAGCAAAGAAGCATAGACTCGTGTGCAAGAAAGGAATCCCGAGACCGATCTACAGGTGACAGTGCATCACCTCCCAGCGGACACACAGCGGCATCCCTTCTGTTTATTCCAGATTTCCTCACAGCCTCCTGGCTGGTGGTGAAAAATAATCTCAGAGAAGGGTTCTTCTGGCTCACGAGCAGCACCGGCCTGGCGGGGTTCGGCCGGGCTGTTTGCAGGGGGCAGCGAGAGCGTCAGCCTGCCTGCTGGGCCCGCCCGAGTTGGCCTCGCTAGGAGGCCCGTTGTTGCGTGTCTTAGAGCTTCTGGGATTTGCGTTCCAAGGCTGGGAAGGCGAGCCCAGCACTCCATCCTCCAGAGGCAAGAGACTCACAGACATGGGTGAAGCCACTGCAGACGACCACGGCAAATGCCCCGTGTCCCCTGTAAGGTCCCCTGCCATGCACTCTCATCCTCCAAGCACGGGCATGGCGATCCCATGGAGTCGTCTGTGTTTCAGCCACAGAGTTACGGTCTGGACACAGTCCGAGCGAGGTGGTCAGAGGCCGGTCCCCAGGAGTCTGGCCCTCAACGCGGAGCAGTGTGTCCTCCTCCCTGGGGTCCGAGGTGGTCCTCCCCAGCCAAGTCCCAAGCTGGCCTGTAGTGATGGCAGAGGCTTGGGGCAGGTGTCGCGGGAGAACGGAGCCCTCGGCTGCCCGGTTCTGCCCATTCCACGGAAGATAAACTTGACGCACAAAGACGCTTGCACAGGGCCACAGAGGAGCCACCCCTCCCCGGCAGGAGGGACCCCACAGCGCGGGTGTCAGCTGCTCATCCAGGGAGCCTGGTAAACAAGATGCAGGGGCCCAGGGCCCGGCCCAGATGCCCGTCTTCGGAATCCTCATGCCAGGGCGCGGAAGTCGGCAGCCCCAGTCGAGGAGCCTCAACAGCATCTCCCCGGCAGGGCCGGGGGTCGGGGGGAGCAGCTCCCTTCCCCTCTGCAAGCCTCCTCCTCCACCCACCCCTGCCCTTCACCAGCACAGTCAAAGGTTCAGCTGAGAAAGAAGGAGAGCCGTGCCAGTGGGGGAATGGCCAGGACCCCAGCCTCAAACCTCCCACCCCTCAGCCCTCACGGCACAGCTGGAAAAGCCGAGGCACGACTCTGGCGCTCAGGCCTGTGCTGGGGCCACTGGGGACGCGCTGTCGTGAGAACGCAGGCCTGGCACATGGTCAGATAAAGTCAAGGCTCCTCTGCGGGGGGTGGGGAGGCTCTGTCCTGTGGCCAGGCGCGGGGAGAGGGGCATCCAGAAAGGGGAGGGGTGGCACCAAGCGAGGGCCTGGGGAGGGGCTCCATGGCCCGCGGGGAAGGTGGGGTAGGTGCCTGGTGAGCCCCCAAGCTGGAAGGAACAAGCCCTCGGCCCCCACGTGCCCAGCCAAGGAGGTGGACCCGCTGGGCTTGTGGGGCACGCGGGACAGCAAAAGTCTCTGCACAGAAAAGTGGCATCACTGGGTCTGAGTACCAGGGCTGGGAGCTGGGGGGGACGAGGAGCAGGGACCGGCGCAGGGGCCGCTGCAGGATCCCGGCTGAACCAGGACGGCGGCGGCCAGCAGGTGCACAGGGCGGACCACCGACGCCAGCACTGCACGTGCAGATATGGTGGAGAGAAGGTGAGCTAGCTCGGTCTCAGCGTGGCGGGGCCAGCAGCAGGCAGGAAGTGGTGTCAGTCACAGGAAGGCTGGGTGTGTGGGGGAGAATAGTCACTGTCCCCATAAAGGGATATCCTGAGGCTCTTAGATGAGAAAGCGGGGCTCTGGGCACCTTCCCAGGGGTGAGGGGAGGGGGCAGTCAGCCAGGGAAAATGTGGAAGGAAACCCTCTCCTGGGGTGGAAACGGGGGCCGTGGTGTGGATTGTTCACGCCCCATCAGCCACGGAGATCAGAGCCCTCGCTGTACTTGAAGCCCCCTCCCAGGGAGGGATTTGGAGCAGAGATGCACCATCGGGACCCCCTGCACCAAAGATGCTGATGCAAGCGCGTTTCTCTCCCATCCCTAGAACTGGACCCCCAGGCTCTGTGCACCTGCCTGCACGTGATGGTTTTTACCGTGGAGACGGCCAGTTCACTTTGGAGTCTTCCCATTGTGTTGCCCCTTGGATTTAGTCCTACAGCCTCAGCCCTCGAAGTCCATAAAGGCAATCTTTGTTTTTTTAAGCCAATGACCTTTAAAAAGATATTTTGGGAGGGCCTGGGTGGCTCAGTCGGTTGATCATTCGACTCTTGATTTCGGCTCAGGTCATGATCTCGGGGTCGTGAGATCGAGCCCCACGATGGGCTCTGTGCTCAGCGTGGAGTCTGCTTGAGATTCTCTCCCTCTGCCCCTGCCCCCACTTGCATGCTCTCTCTCTCAAATAAATAAAAATAAATCCTTAAAAAAATAAAGAGTTCTTTTGTTTTTTACATCATGGCCCCCAGGTCTCACTGGAGACTCCCCGAGGTGGGGTGTCATGAAGCCATGTGGCAGCACCGTCCTGGGTGGGTGTGTCTCGTGGGTGAGAGCTTCACCCTCAAGACCGTTTTCAGGAAACAAACGAAGGAAGTCTTCAGTTTGTATGGACAGACTCAGTGACAAGACATACGTGTGACATTCCCGGGCCCATGGTTACGTCGTCTCTTTTTTACGATAAGCCTGCAGGTTGGGCCAGAGAGAAAGCTCGGGGACCCTGACGTCGCCATGGAAACCCGCTACCCAGCTCTGGCCCGCCCCTCACGGCCCTGTGCCTTGTGTCTTGCAGGTGGTCTTTAGCAAGTACTGCAACTCCAGTGACATCATGGACCTGTTCTGCATCGCCACCGGCCTGCCCCGGTGAGTGGTCCAGACCGCACCCCCAGCAGGGCGCCCCCACCAGCAGGGTGCCGGTTCGCCTAGAGAGGAAGGTGCCTGGGAGGGAGGGTGAGCCGCGGGTCTGAGGGGTGACAGGTGGGCCAGGGCCCCGTGGGCTCACCTTGAACGCAGGGGCCCTTTCCGATCAGTGAGTGAGGCCCCACAGGTGTGGGCCCCGGCCTGTCCCCAGCCTGCCGGACCAGCACCGCGCTGTGCATGCAGGAAACCACTGGGCAGAATTAGGCAGAAACCACTGTCTTAAGAGGGTTTTTTTTTTTCCTTTTATTTATTTATTTGCTTTTGAAGAAAGGACAGAAGAGAGTGGTTGTGTTTTGGTTTTGGCCCCCCAGCCCGAGATGATCCAGCAGGTGATATTTTCTATCTCGGGGGTGGCGGAGGGGGGGTGCCACAGAGCAACGTTTGGGAAGACAGATTTACAGAAAGTAGTTGGAAAGGCCAGTAATCCCCTCATAGAATCATCAGACTTCCAGAAGAGTCTTTTCCCCCAGTTGGCAGCCTGTTCGAGTGCAGCTTCTAGCCTCACTTTCTGACTGTAGAATGGCCAGGGGTAGCCGGGGTGTGGCATCTAACTCCGGAGCTGTGACCCGGGTCGAGGACGGGAACCAGACAGGAGCAGTGTCACAGGCAGGGAAGGACAGGCCAAGACGCCCTCTGGAACTACGGCAAACAGCAGTTTGTAGCTGCAGAAACAGCCCGCAGCCTGGGGCGTCTTCGAGCTTTGTGCTAGGAAATAGACACCGTTCTTGACAGCACCCCGAGATTCGGGTGTCACCCCCAACGCACGCACCCAGAGACCACAGAGGCTTAAATAACGAGGTCGAGGCCACACCGCTCGCCCAGAGGCCCCAGGGATGAGAGGTTGTGGGGAGACTCTGCTTCCCCGCCCGAAGGTGCTTCCTAGGAGAGGCTCCCCTGCGCCCGTGGCTTCCTTCAGAATGGACAGAGCACTGGGAATTACGCATGGCCACCTGTGTGTGCACAAAGGCAGGGCCATGTCCTGGGGCCGAGCTGGCCCCGGTACCCATGCGGTTGTCCCCTGCGCCGTGGAGACACTGACAGAGCGTGTCTTCCAGGAACACGACCATCTCCCTGCTGACCGCGGACGATGCCATGGTGTCCATCGACCCCACCATGCCCGCCAATTCAGAACGGTAAGCGGCGGCCTCTCCAACACTTCTCTACACACACAGGACGGGCTCCACGGTTGTCCTCTTAATTCACTGCTGTGGGAAAATCTGAATTGAAACCAAAGATGGGGTAGGAGTGGGAGGGTCCTTTGCAGATCAGTCACTTTCCAAGATAATTACAAGGTGCAGGTGTGCTCAGGGACCCTTCTGAGGGCTTGCTCACAACAAGAGTCCCCTGAGGAGGCACAGAGGAGGAAACTGAGGCCCTGAAGGCCAGTGAGGAGCAGTGGAGCCAGGCCCCAGGGCAGTGCGCTGACTGCCCCCTGTCCTGCTCTGGAAGGTTCCCTGACCCTCACTGTAGGTCCTCAGAAGGTCCCCCCTGGCACCCAAGGTGTGTGCACACCTGAGCACCCAGCAATGAGCACCTGCTCTCCCCCCTGCCCCCAGCAGCCGGCCTGTCGGCCATTTCCCCCCCGCCCCCGGGCTGGGTGCAGGACCCCCCAGGCCCTGGCAGGGGCACACCTAAGGCTTCAGTGCAAAAGGCCAGACAAACCCCGTGGGAGGTTCAATGCCATCATGAGTCTCCCAGCCACACCGTCCCCGGGGCTCCGTGGTCTGTGGTGGGCAGCATCCTCCTCCGCGCCCCCAGATGCCTCCACTGGGCCCCCTCGCCAACTGTGCCCATCAGTCTTCCCAAATTTCGTCCATCAGGAGCTCCTGCCCCACGCCCTCTGGCTCTGATTATCAGCTCGGGGCTCCCCGGAAGGAGCAGGGCTGACCAGCTCCCCAACAACTCCGGTGAGATCCTTATAAATCCTGGCACACCCACCCCGGCCCAACCGGAGAGCGCTTCAGAAGCGAGGTCTCCAGCGACCGGTCACCCCTGACGTCTGCGAGGTCAGGGTGGACGTCTCACTCCAACCAGGGCCCCATCTGCGCACAGTGTGACCTGCTCTCTAAGCGAAACTGCTTCGCGCTTTACTCCCTCCCGGAGGCTGTCGGCGGGGGCGGTTTTGTTCCCCTGGGGACACTGGGCTGCGTCTGGAGACATTCCGGCCACCACAGATGGAGGCGTGCTGACATGCGGCGGCCAGAGACCAGGGCTGTTGCTACCGGCCCTCTGTGCGCAGGACGGCCCCAGCACCGACACTCACTGCCCGAAATGCCAGGGGTGCCGAGGTCCAAAAGCCCTCTCGGCGTTTTCTCTTTACGGAGCTACTGGTTATCCGCTCAGAGGTCACCAACCACTGACCCAGCTCCGCGGAGGCTGCCCCTTCTCCCTCCCTCTCTCTGCCCCCAGGTTCTGACTCTCTGTCTCTCTGGGGCTGAGCCCCAGAACTGGCTTTTCTCTGGGCTCCCAGGTGCTGGTGGTGATGCCGGGTGGGACCCCTCTGCCCCCTCCGTTGATGGGACCTCCCCTTCCTCCACCGGCTTTCCTGCCGCCTCTGTCTGCTTCCCACCGTCCGTCCTGGGGAGGTGGGTGCACTCAGGGGCGTCCTGCTCAGCCCCGCACCCGTGCCCCTTCCCAGGTCACACCCTAGCGGTCCCCAGCACGGCCCCGTCTGTTCTGATTCTCTTCGTTCCCACTGCCTGGGGGTCCCGTCCGTTCCAGTATAACCAGTCCCACTAACCAGTGACTTTCAGCCCTGCCGAGGATTACCGGAGATCTTCCCAAAGGCACCGATGCCCAGACCCCTGCCAGAACCCGTTCAATGTGGAGTTTTGAGGGAGTGCTTAGGGCTCACCAGGTGATTCCGGTGTGCAGCCCTGGGCGAGGGCCACTGATGGAAAGTGTGGAAAATGTAAGAAAGTGCTCAAACCCACACAGGTTCAAAACAAGGTGTTACCTGAGCTGCCAGAACCGAAACACATTATGACACAGTCTCTAGGGAGATGAACCCCTAGTTCCAAGTAACCAACTTCCAGAAGACCTTCTGAAGCAGGGCCCTTTCCTAAGTGAGAACAGGGTACTCCCAGGGGAGAGGTGACAGTGTGGACTCACGTCTCGACACTCTGTGCCGGGAGGGACCCTCATGGAGATGTCCATCCATCATCCAGGATAACTCTGCTGTCCAGTTTTTATTTTATACTTTATTCGTGTTTTCAATGGTCAGAGTTCTCCACGTGGCCTGTAACTGTTAAACCACAGGTATCCCCATCAATCACTGCTAACAGTGGGGTACGTCGGAGTCCCTCCAGATTTTCTTTGCTCGTTCTGTTATTCCGTAACATGCTCGGTCCGCCCACCATCCCCTCAGGTCAACACCTGCACACGTATCTCCCTTTTTGACCACAGACTTACTCCACGGAACAGCGAGTAGATACTCAGTGCCCTGCTGACCGGGGCCCAGAAATTTGGAGCGCCCCGCCATTCTTACAGTGCGGTGATACCCATCCCCAGTGTGTAGTTGAACATGGACTGTCGGATCCCTGAGGACAGGAGCATTTTGTCCTGTTCACTGTGCTGTCCCCTGTACCTGATCCCAGAGAGCACTCATGACGAACGACCGAACGGACAAACAGATGACATGGACAAATGACATGTGAAGGTGTCCCCACGGGCCAGTGTTTCATCTGATACCCTTGTTCCTAAATTCATGGGCTGAGTCAGAGGACTGAATATCTTCCGTTAACCAGTCTCGCTGGGCACCTTCCCAGGACCGTGGTGGTGCGCACCCCGGCCCGCGACACTGTAGCACGTCTCCCTGGGCCCCTGCAGCCTGCTTGTTGAAATTTTGCTAAACTACTAGGTAAAAAACGGCATCTCTCTTGAGGAGCCTTTCTTAAAAACTGTTATCAGCTATTGCGTATTCCTGCTCTTTTTGACCTCTTCTCCGTGGCTCCATTTCCTCTCCCTCCCTCTCTGCCGTAGGTCCTTGTGAGTCAGGGGCAAACATTCTCCCATCCGCTCTGGGCCTCGGGACCACTGGGATGGCATCACCAAGTGCACGTTCAGCCGAGGGACAAACCCCATCTTCCCTCGTGCACCTGGGAGATGCAGTCGCCGTGAGCTCGAGCCGGGCCCGGGACAGAGCCTCCCGCATCAGTCGGGCGTCCGTCCGGTGGACTCGGGCAGCTCTAGCGGTCTCCCGCGCCCGAGTAGCCGTGGTACGGACCACAAAATGTGTTCAGTTCACCAAATATGAACATCACAGAGGAAGTTCATCGTTTAAATGATATATTTAAAGTATTTGGAGTTCTTCCGAACGAGGAAGCTCAGAACAGCCAAAGAAACTAATTTCAGGAAAAAAAAAAAACCCTAATCCACTGAATTCTAATTTATCCCGAGCGGCTTATCTCTCACAGCAGACGCGCCAAGAACACCTTCGACGGCATCTCACAGGGGAACTGTCTTCTCTCTTGCAGCACTCCCTACAAAGTGAGACCTGTGGCCGTCAAGCAATTGTCTGGTAAGGCCCTGCTATCATTTTTAAAATTAAAAGAAAAGAAGGCTCCAGGCTGCCCCTGTGATTGAATATATATTAGGTAAGCATTTGAATCTAAAACCCTGTGCTATTACAGAATCCAAAGCCCTATCTTAGACTCCACCCTCGACAGTCCCTTGGGGGCCTCCCCCCATGCTGTCCCTTACTGACTCAGAGGGCGCTGGGTGACGTTCCGCCCGTGTCGTCCTGGACACAGGGCCTGTCCTGCTCACTCAGACCGTGAGCCACCAAGGTGGGCCATCTGCAGCCCCCAGCCCGCAGGATGCTTCATGTAGCCAGTGGTGTTGTTTTGCTAAAACCCATTTCCTTTTGGATCTTTTCCCTTATTTATGCATGATTCATGCATCATAAAATGTTCCCATTTAAGTGTAGATTTTGATGAGTTTTGAAAAATGTATCCCCCCCTTTAACTGTTGACCAGAATCAAGACACAGAACATTTATATTATCTGAAAAGGTTCTTCTGTGCCCCTTCCCAGGGAACCCCCTCCCTCAACCCCTGCTCTCTGTCAGCAGCTGACCTGCCTTCTGACATTGTAGATTTGTCTTTCCCAGAGCATCGTATAAAAGATACCACATAGTACGTGCGTTCCTTTCTGAATTTCTGACTCAGTCTAACGTGTTTGAGACGTGTCTGTGTGTTGGGTGTCATTCCTTTTTATTGCTGGGGAGGTTTCGTGGTATGGCCGGACCACAGTGTGACTACCCACCCACCTGCTGAAGGACACCCAGGTTATTTCCAGTCTGCGGCCTTCATGAATAAGGCTGCTATGAGCGTTCAAGTGCATGCCTCTGTGGGGACACATGTTCTCATTTCTCTTGGATTGAACAGGATTGTATTTGTTTCACTTAAAAAACAAAACAAAACAAAAGCTAATCACTTTTTTCCAAAGTGGTAGCACCATCTTGCATTCCCACCCATGGTGTGTGCGTGCTTCTAGTCTGCACTTGGAACTGTCCACCCCTTTCCTGTGAACCATTCTAATGGGTGTGTGGTGATACTGCATTGGGTTTGAATTTGTGTTTCCCTAGTGACTAACGAGGGGGAAAGCATTTACTAACCGGTCATAAATCTTCTTCCGTGAACTGCCACAGTCGTGGAGACTTGCTTCCCATACTGTCAAATAGCGCTCCTGATCCGTCGGACACACCCTGTTAGTCAGATGTGTCTTGTGAATATTCTCTCCCCGCCTGACTCACTGTTTCGTTTTCCTGTCAGAGCCTTTCAGTGAGTAGAAGTATTAGATTCTGATTTAGGCCTGGAGGACCCATTTTGTTCTTTTATGGTTTCACTTTGGGTGCCCTAAGAAGTCTTAGTTCATGCCCTATCTGTGGGGTCATCGGCCATGCTTTCTTCTAAAAGTTTTATTTTTTTTAGCTTGCACATTTAGGTCTGTGATCCATTTCAAGTTGACTTTTGTGTAGGGCCTAGCCAAACGTAGAGGCTTATTTTCCTTTTTAAACTGTGAAGTTAATTTAATTTTTATTTTTTTATAAGACTGATTTTTTTGTAAGATTCTGAAGAACAGAATTCTGAAGCCACCCGTCGTCGGGTGCTGGGCAGTGAGTGATGAGGGACTGAGGCATCTGGGCCTTTTCTCGTCTTGACACTTGACAGTGTTTACACATGGGTACTGGTTGCTTTAATTATTCTTTAATGCTTGAGAAGCTCTTTGAAAACTCTGAATTCAATCCTCTTGATAGTAGATGTTAGAATAAAGTAGGAGTTCTAACTTTTTCTAGAATGAAAATTCCTTTTTAACGTAAAAGGTATTCGAGCCCTTGACTTGGTAACAAATGTGATATTTTTTACATCGTTATTAACTAAACCCCATTCTTTTTTCGGATTTCACTAGTTTTTCTCCTAATGTCCTTTTTCCGCTCCAGCGTCTGAGCCGCGGTCCAGCCCGTCGTGTGCTCATCGATGGGGTCTTCCTGGTTGGCCCTGGTCTCACAGGTGCTCACACTCCCCTTGTTTGGCCTCAGAGCATCTGTAGAATGTCCCCCAGGCTGGGTTTGTCTGATGTTTTTCTCCTGCTCAGCCCAGGGGTGTGGATTTGGGGAAAGAATGAGGGGGTCCGGGATATCCTCTTGACTCACTGCCGTCTCGGCTGTGAAGTCACTGTCTTTCCCCTTCCTTACTCTATTCTTTGGAAGGCATTGCTCAGTCCAGCCCTCCTTCAGGTGGGGGAGAAAAGGACTGACGTTCATTCTCTCTGGGTGGATATCCACTTGCTCCAGAACGTTTGTCGGAAAGACAGTCCTTTCCCCCAGTGAATTATCGCGACATCCTCGTTAACACTCAGTTGACCATGTATGTGTGAGTCTTTCTCTGGACTCACCGTCCTGTTCCATCAACTGACTACACGTCTGTGCTCAAACCCCTGCCACGCTGTCTTGAATCCTGTGCATTCACGGTTAAGTCGTGAAACCAGTAAGTCCTCCGATTTCTTTCTTCTTTTTCAAAAATATTTTACTTATCCCAAGTTCCTTTTATTTTCAAATAAATTTTAGAATCCTTCTGTCAGTTGCTACTAAAAAAAAATTTTTAAAGTCTGCTGGGACCTTGAAATTGTATTGAATACATAGAACACTTGAAAAGAATTACTATCTATAATGTTGAGTCTTCTAACTCATGAATATGGCATCTCTCGATTTACTTAGGTTTCTCTTAATATCTCTCAACATATTATAGTCGTCAGGGTAAAGTTCTTGAATAGATGTTGATAAATTTATCACTAAGTATTTAAGATTTGTAATGCTATTGTCAATAGATTTTTAGGTCAATTCCCAGCAGTTTTTTGTTTCTAAAAATATAATTGGCTTTGTGTATTGATTTAACTAAATTCACTTAGCAGATCTAGTGCCTTTTTGTAGATTTCCTATGATTTTGTACATCTGCCAATAGAGAATTCCTTCTTTCTTTTAGATCTGGATGTCTTCCGGTTCTTTTGTTTCTTGGGGTCTTGACTTGTTGCCCTAGCTAGGGTATCTAGTACAAGAGATGTATAGGGTGTGAGAATGCAGATTCTTGGCTCTGTTCTCATGTTAGAATGAATGTGAAGTTTTCCACCATCAGTTATGATGTTAGCTGTAGGGTTTTTTATAGATGCCTTTTATCAGGTTGAGGATTTTTTTTTCTTAATTCCTAATTGGTTGAGAGTTTTAATCGTAAATTTGTGTTAGATTCTGTCAAATACTTTTCCTGCCTCTATTGAGATGATCGTGTTTTTTACTCTCTGTTCTGTTAGTGGTGAATCTGTTGATTGATTTTAAAACTTTAACCTTGAATTCCTAGTATAAACTCTATTTGGCCATGGCATACTGTCTCTTTGTTTTGAATTCAATTTACAAATGCTTTATGAAAGATTTTTGTGTCTATATCAACAAGGGATCCATAGTCTTATTTTTTTACAATATGTTCAACTGGTTTGGGCTTTAGGGTGATGCTGGCCTCATGGGATGAGGGAAATGCTCCACCCTCCTGCCTCTGGAAGAGTGTGTATAGGGGTGGCACTGTTTTTACCTTAAGCATTTCATAGAATTCACCAGTGAATCCTCTGTGCTTGGAGTTTCTTTGTGGGAAGGTTTTAAACTATGAATTCAGTGTCTTTAGGAGATAAGTGTGTCTGGGTTTTCTATGTACTTGGGATTGACTTTAGGAAGTGCTGCCCATTCCAGTAAAGATTCATCTGAGAATTTATTGGTGCGATGGAGCTTGGGAAGTCCTTGCCATCCCTTTTATGTCTATGGGATTGGAGTGAGACCTGCTCTTTCTTTCAGGATACTACTAATTTATATCTTCTCTCTTTTTAATCAGTTAATCAGTCTGATTTATACATTTTATTGATTTCTTTTTTTAAGAGCTAGCTTTGAACTTCATTGGTTTTCTCCATTGTGTGTCCGGTTCCTATTTCAATGATTTCTCCTCTTACCTTTTTATTTCCTTCCTTCTACCCACCCCGCGTCTAGTTTGCTTCTCTTTTTCTGGCTTCCAAAGGTGGAAGCTTCAATCATTAATTTTAGATCTTTCTCTTTTTTACGTAATATTTGAAGTTCAAAAATATCCCTCTAAGTACAATTTAGCTGCATCTCATAGGTTTTGATGTGTTGTGTTTTCATTTTTATCCAGCTCAAAATATTTTCTGATTTACCTTGTAGTTCCTACTCAGATCCACTTGTTATTTAGAAGTGCATGTTTGATTTTCAAATGGTTGTGTATTTTCCAGTTATCTTTCTGTTATTGATTTCTAAGTTAATTCCATTGTGCTCAAAAGTGGACCCTGTATGACTCCCGTCTTTTTTTAATTTATTGAGATGCATGGTGTATCTTGGTGACTGTTCCAGATACACCTGGCAAGAGTGTGTATCTTGCTGTTATTGGGTGGAATATTCCACCAGTATCAGTTAGGTCAAGTTAGTTGATAATGTAGTACAAGTTTCCTGTATCTTTATTTTTCTGTCTACTTGTTCTACCAATTACTGAAAGATGGGTATTGAAAGATCCGAGTCCCTTGTGATGTGTTCACTGCTTTTCTCAGTTTGTCAGGTTGTGCTTTGTGCATTTTCTATTCCTGTTATTGGGTGCATACTTATTTAGGATTGTTGTATCTTCTTAATGGGTCAGTCCCTTTAGCCTTAGGAAAATGTGGCCTTTATCCTTGGTTCTATTATATTGTCCTTCTCTCCTGTTAATACAGCTACCTGGGCTTTCTTAGGCTTAGTGCTCACATGTTATACTCTTTCCATCCTTTTACTTTGAATGTATCTGTCTCTATTTGGAGCAGGTTTCTTATTGGGAGCATTTATCAATTTTGGCAATTTCAGCCTTTCATTTGGAGCTGTTAAACCATTTACAATAAACATAATCATAGATACAGTTGGGTTAAATCTACTACTCATTTTGTTTATTTCATCCATTCTTTTTTTTTAAATTTTTTCTCTCTTTTCCTATATCTTTTGGAT